GTATGCAGCGTGGAGAAAGATCAATTGGACCGTACTTTCATGGACACTTAATTCGTTATTAAAGGATATTGCAGAATCTTTTTTGTATGCTGAGAAATCAAAGGAGCTGTGGGAGGATATCTGTCAAAGGTATGGTGGAAATAACGGTCCGATGAGGTATAAAGTTCAAAGAGAAATATCCAGTTTAAATCAAGGAAATAACACGGTGATGGAATATTTTAATAAACTGAAGAAACTCTGGGATGAATTTGCCTGTATAGTGCCTTTGAAAATCTGTGACTGTGAAAAAGGAAAAATGATGTTGCAATATGAAGCTGAAAATCGATTAATGCAGTTTCTAATGGGACTCAATGATGGATATGATCATCTGAAGAATCAGGTTTTATTGATGGAGCCACTACCAAGTGTTAGTAAAGCTTATTCTATGGCCTTAACAGCAGAAAGGCAAAGAAGTGTACAGAATTTATATGGAGAGAAAGTTGAGAGTGTGGCTGTGATGGTGAAATCAGGAGGTTATGGTAGAGGTGCAGGAATGCAGGGAAGAGGAAATTATGGAGGACAATGGAATTTAGGAAGAGGAAGAGGAGGCATGAGGATGACGAAGGAAGAAAGAGCTAAGTTGATGTGTGAAAAGTGTGGAATGCATGGGCACACTATTGCAACATGCTTCAAGATACATGGAATTCCAGATTGGTTTAAGAAATTAAAGGAGCAGCAAGGGAGATCTTATGCCAACAACATTATGGCATATGTATGTGGAGAAGTTCAAACACAGAAACCAGTTTACAAGGATGAGGCAAAAGGAAGAGATTTGGAGTCAGTCATAAAACAATTGAATGAACTAACACAGTATATCAAAGGGAAGGAGGAAAGCAACAACAAACTGGATTATGCTCGATTTGTAAGTTTCTTAGGGGTAGATGAAGGCGAAAATGTGCATTATGCTCTGTCCATGGTAGAAGGAGGAAATGAAAGAAGGTGGATAATTGATACAGGTGCCAGCAGGCACATATGCACCAATGATAAAATCATGAGGAATATGGAGAAAATTGAAGGGCCAGTGTCCATTTGTTTACCAGATGGATACTAGAGAGTGTGGAGATTAAGGGAGAAGTTGTGATTAATGAAGAAATTATTCTGAGAGATGTGTTGTACATGCCTGACTTCAAGTATAATCTTATGTCAGTCATGCAGCTGTGCAAAGATAGAGGTCTGAGGTGGATTTTTTATGAGAAGAAGTGCTTATTGGAGGATCAGAAAAGTGAAAGAGTGGTAGGTCTTGGAAAAATGGCAGGAAATTTATATGTGCTGGAAAACAATGAAGCAAAAGAAATTCATTGCAATATGTCAGTGGAAGCTTTACACAAATGTTTAGGACATGCATCCATTGGAGCACTGAATCATCTGAATATTGTGAAGGAAAAAGGATACAAAGAAGTGGAGAGAAGGATTCAAACCTGTGAGATATGCATGAAGGCTAAACAACATAGAAAGCCTTTTCAAGATAGCAGTATAAAGACCACAGAGTGCTTTGAGTTGGTGCACATTGACATTTGGGGACCATGCAGGGAGGAGGCCATCACAAACACACCTTACTTCCTTAGTCTGGTAGATGATTACAGCAGGGGAACTTGGGTGTTCCTCATGAGAAGCAAATCACAGGCAGAAAGGATATTGACAGGTTTTATCACTATGGTTAAGAAGCAATATGGGAGTAAAGTAAGAAGGATAAGGTCAGACAATGGAAAGGAGTTTATTGCCAAAGATTTGCATGAGTTTTTTTGAAAGAAAAGGAATATCACATGAGACAACTTGTGTCTATACCCCACAACAAAATGGGGTAATAGAAAGGAAACACAGACATCTCTTGGAAGTGGGAAGAGCCTTAATGTTTCAAGGTAATCTACCTATAAAATTTTGGCCATTTGCAGTTCTCACTGCTGCTTATGTCAATAACAGAACCCCCAACTCAGTTATACAATGGGAAACACCTTTTGAAAGACTTACAAAGAAAATGCCAGACTATATGATGTTAAAACCTTTTGGATGCTTGGCATTTGCAACAAACAATATTCCACATAAATCCAAATTTGATCCCATAGGTGTAAAATGTGTGTTTCTTGGTTATGTCATTGGGAAGAAGGGTTACCAGCTCTATGACATAGAAAACAATGAACTAATCATCAATAGGGATGTGACATTTATTGAAGAACAATTCCCTTTTGTTGCAGAACACAGAAATATGGGAACTCTACCTGTAGTGATACCAGATGATGATGCTGAATCAGTATGTGAGCCATGCAGTGAGATATTGGAGACATCAAATGATAATGGAGAGGGCAATGGACTGAGGAGGGGGTTAAGACAAAGGAGAGCACCACAATGGCAAGCAGATTATGTTTGTGATCCTTCAGCTTTTATGGCAAAGGTGTCTCTGAAAAAGGAGCCTAGTCACTTCACACAAGCAAGTAAACATCCTGCATGGGTAGAGGCAATGGAAAAGGAACTTGATGCACTAGAACACAATCATACCTGGGAACTAACCAAACTGCCAGAAGGAAAGAAAGCAATAGGCTCAAAGTGGGTCTATAAAATAAAGAGAAAACCAGATGGGTCAGTAGAGAGGTACAAAGCAAGGTTGGTGGCCAAAGGTTACAATCAAATTGAAGGAGTTGACTTCTTTGATGTGTTTTCTCCTGTTGCAAAACTGGTAACTGTAAGAATGTTTATTGGCATGGCTATGGAACATGATTGGAGTTTACATCAATTGGATGTAAACAATGCTTTCTTGCATGGATATTTGTCAGAGGAAGTGTATATGAGGCCACCACAAGGATACAACAAGGCTAAAGAAAGGGGAGGTATGCAAACTGATTAGAAGCCTATATGGTTTAAAACAAGCTTCTAGGGAATGGAACTTGGAGTTGTGCCAAAAACTGGGTTCTTTTGGGTTGATACAGTCCACTTTTGATCATTGTCTCTTCACCAGGCATAAAGGAACAGAATTTTGGCTATTTTGGTATATGTGGATGATATCTTACTCACAGGATCTAGTGAAGAGTTGCTTACAGAGTTAAAGGTGTTCTTAGACTATGCATTCACAATTAAGGACTTGGGATTGGCAAAGTATTTCCTTGGGGTGGAGATGGCCAGAGATAACAAGGGGATATTTTTTGGGCATAGAAAGTATATAATGGATTTATTGGGAGATATGGGGATGTTAGGATGCAAGGGTGCTGCAACCCCTTTGCCACATGGAATTTCTTTGAGGGAAACAGAAGGAGAAGTCTTAACTCAACCTGATCAGTACAGAAGATTGATTGGGCGGCTGTTGTACCTTAATATCACAAGGCCTGATGTCACTTATGCAGTACAACAGCTTAGCCAATTTGTGGCTTCACCACACAGTGTACATTGGGATGCAACACTTCATGTGCTCAGATACTTACATGATCAGACAAATATGGGTTTACAGTTTACTAAAAGGGGATCTTCAAGTCTTGTTGTCTATTGTGATGCTGACTGGGCAGCATGCATGGACACAAGGAGGTCCATTACGGGGTATTGCATTTTTCTGGGAGGTTGCTTGGTTTCATGGAAGAGTAAGAAGCAAATTACGGTGTCCAAGTCCTCAGCAGAAGTTGAGTATAGAGCCTTGAGCTCCACTGTTTCAGAGCTCATGTGGATCTATATTGCCAAAGATCTTCACCTTGACCTGGATTTTCCTATCCCATTATGGTGTGATAATATGGCTGCTATTCATATCAGTGCCAACCCGGTTTTCATGAAAGAACCAAACATCTTGACATTGATTGTCATTTAGTAAGGGCTAAGTACAAAGTCGGGTTTGTGGTTCCTCAACACATTTCTACTCAACATCAACTTGCGGATCTTTTCACTAAGCTGCTTGGAGGATCTCATTTCAGGAGTCTCATTGGCAAGTTGGGCATGGTATCTCGGTCTCCATGCACAACTTGAGGAGTGGGTGTTGGAATATGCATGTTTTGGTGTTTTACTTTTTTTCCTTTCTTATGTTTGTAATAGGAGCTGTTGCGTTCTTTTTTCTTTTCTTTCTTTACTTGGGATTGTACGGCGTCGTTTAGCTTTACTAAACACGACACCGTTTTACTCGTCTTGCATGCGTACGTGTATATATATCCTTTGTACGTTTCTCTGCATTTGATGAAATACGAAAATGGTGAGAATTTTCTCCCCCAAATTCTGAGTGATTCAACAGATCTTGATTTGTTCTTGATCTCATTGCAACCTCTATATATTGGATGTAATTTCACTATTACAAGCAATGGAAAATACACATCTTTCTCTTCTCTACTCTATGCATTCTCTTGTAGCACTTTTGTCAAGTTTTAGATTGGGAAATCCCCTTCTAAATCTATGGCAGTTGGGCTTCTATAATGGAGTTTGAGAATATATAATTGCAGGATTTCTGACTTCAAAGTTAAAAAAATAAAAAATGAAGAAAGAGAATGGAGAGTGGAGATGGTGTTCAAAGTCTCTACACCCCTTTCTTGGTAAAAACATCATAGTTTTAATGCTTCCACTACAGCCAAACAATAAACAACTTCCAAATTTATATGTAAGACTTTAGCTTTCACCATTCGAGTCTATTTCACTTTAGACTTCCTACCTAAAATAATTAATTTAGTACTCCACCACCCTTATTCCACCCTCATAGATCTTATCCAGATATTTCCATTTTCTTCAATACCTTCTTCATCCGCATACTCTCTTTTGCAGGATTTTTTACAGTTGTTTCTATGACAATTATTTCTAGAAAGAATTATACATTACCCTTCTGTGTTTTTTTTTTTAAAATTATTCATGAATCACTATCTTGTGTTTGTTTCAGGATTTCAAGTTTCTACTGTTTGAACCTGGATGCCACTAAGATTGTATTAGAATCTGCTTTAATATCAGAAGGTTCCAGGGATTTTGTTGTGTGATCTATAGGATGTTTGGTTTTTGCAAGCTAAATAATCATGGATCAAACGGGTCAACATAACGGGTCAACCTCTGGAATGAAATTTAGCAACCAAACTCTCCCAGTATTTGTGGATCCTAACCTGATCAGCAATTTGAGAGTCAGTGATAATACCTTCATAAATGGGACTAGTCCTAATGATGTCACTCCTGTTTCTACCCGTTCAAATCCGTATGTCCAAATCCAATCATCCGAAGGCAGCCCTCACGAGGATCTCGATCTTAGTGATATGGTTCTCAAGTACATAAACCACATCCTCATGGAAGAGGACGTGGAAGAAAAGGCCTCCATGTTCGAAGAGTCGGCAGCTCTTCAAGCCGCCGAGAAATCATTCTACGAGGTCATCGGCAAACAATACCCTATTTCCAAACACTACAGTAGTAAGCGTGTCCTCGATCTGAATCAGACCTTTGTGGTGGACCCCTCCGAAAATTCATCAAACAGCACGAAAACCTTGTCCCCTGACTGGAATTATGATGCCACTAATGTTGTCCCTTCACAATCTTCGCATAGTTCGTCGAGCAGCAATGGCACCATTACCGACTTCCCCATCGATTCTCCCGTGAGCACCTTAAAAATTCCCGATATATTTTCCGATAGTCGATCGGCTATGCAGTTTAAGAAAGGAGCAGAGGAAGCAAGCAGATTCCTACCTACCGACAGCAAACTTGTTCTTAATCCACTTGAGAAGGCACAAAATCCATCCTCAGTATCGAGGGGAAAAAGGAACCCTCCCCACGAAACCCCAGGCTTGCAAGAGGACGAAAGGAGTAACAAACAATCAGCCATCTACACAGAGTCGAACGTGAGTCCCGCCATGTTCGACATGGTTCTTTTATGCAGCGATGGGAAAAACGAGCAAGCCATCCGTGAAGAACTCATCGAGGTCACCAAAAGCACCCCACCGCATAACATCCCGCCGCACGAGCCGGACACTGGAAAAAACACGACCAAGAAAAAAAAACGAGGCAAAAGAAATGTCGTCGACATGCGGACACTTTTGACCCTATGCGCACAGGCTGTGGCGGCCGATGACCGCCGAACGGCATCCGAATTTCTCAAACAGATTCGACAGCACTCGAGCCCAACAGGCGACGGCATGCAGAGGCTGGCCCATTACTTCGCCCAGGGCCTCGAGGCCCGTTTGGCCGGGTCCGGCACACAGATATACAAATCCCTCTTCAATATGCCAACATCGGCTGCCGACTTCCTCAGAGCCTACCACATATACCTCGCCACCTGTCCCTTCCGGAAGCTCTCGAATTTCTTCTCGAACCGGACCTTCATGAACGTGGCCAGCGACGTCTCGACTCTCCACATCGTCGACTTCGGCATTCTCTACGGCTTCCAGTGGCCATGTTTGATACAGCGCCTCTCGACCAGGCCCGGCGGGCCCCCGAGGCTCCGGATCACAGGGATTGACTTTCCTTGCCCGGGCTTCCGACCCGCGGAGCGGGTCGAAGAAACGGGCCGACGCCTGGCCCGTTACGCGGAGACCTTCAAAGTCCCGTTCGAGTTCAACGCCATTGCCCAGAAGTGGGAGACGGTCAGGCTCGTTGATCTCGGGATTAAGAATGACGAGACAGTTGTGGTCAACTGCCTGTACAGGTTCCGGAACCTTTTAGACGAGACGGTGGTGCTCAACAGCCCGCGTAATGTTGTGTTGAGCCTCATCAGGCAGATGAACCCGGCCGTTTTTGTGATGGGGATAGTGAACGGGGCCTATAACGCGCCTTTTTTCATCACGAGGTTTCGGGAGGCGCTTTTCCATTACTCGTCGTTTTTCGACATGTTGGACGAGAATATCCCTAGGGAGACGCCCGAGCGAGTGCTGCTGGAGAAGTCGATATTGGGTCGGGAGGCGATGAACGTGATCGCGTGCGAGGGGGCGGAGAGGATCGAGAGGCCCGAGACGTACAAGCAGTGGCAGGTGAGGAATATGAGGGTGGGGTTCGAGCAGCTGCCGCTGGATGAGGAGCTGATGAGGATAGCGAGGGGGAGGGTAAAATCGTCATATCACAAGGATTTCATCGTGGATGAGGACGGGCACTGGCTGCTGCAGGGGTGGAAGGGGCGTATTGTGTACGCGCTTTCGACGTGGAGGCCCGCTTGTTGATGAAGTCTTCTCGTCGGTGGGCAAAGGTTGTAAAAACGACGACAACTATTGACCATACTCACCAGCGTAAAAAAAACGACAAGGTATGATGAATATATATTTACTAGACGCCGCGTTTTTTTCGTCGTGTCATTCTGTGAAAGTGGCTCTGTGTTGGGTAATTTTTTGCCTATCAAATACTACATGAAGTTTGTTGATGGTTTGTTAAGGGTCATTGAGCTCGTGTAGCGGGAGATTACGGGAAGTTGTTCATCATGGATGGTGCAGATTGACAAGATCAGGCGAGTGATGAAGCAAAAAGTTGGTTTGGAAGAGGTTTTTCTTTTTTTTTCTGTCACTGTCTTANTCATGTTGAGCTTTAGTTCTAGTAACTGTATGCAGTTGGTCTGGTCATTGTTGTTTAAACTGCATGTAAGATGAATCTTTTCTTAGGAAGGGCTATTTGAGGTATTTAGACTTCTGCTTTGCATTTGGACCATCTGGATTTTGGGAAATTACTTCTTTTCCTTCCAAGGTGAGTAGAATCTGATTGAGCCCTTGTGGATTTTTATAATTTGAGTTTTGCAATTTAATATTTCATGGTCTTGACTTTTGGAGAAAAACAAATCGTAGAAGAGAAAGTCCTTAAAAAACCAACTTAACCAAATCATTTTGACTTATGTTGTTTTCTTTTCTTTTTATCATTATTTTTCTTTATGGGAGTATAATGTTGATCAGTCAGAGCTGTAAGAAATTGATTTTCAATCTAATTTTGAGGCAAGTTTAATTAAAAAAAAAATGTAATTCTATTTGGATCTTATTGATTTGAATCAAATGGAAGAATTTTATAATACCAAATAATGATAAGGTGTGCTCTATACCTGTTAAAATAATATTTATTATTATTTCTTATTTTATTTTAAAAAATACAGGTATTCTCTTCTCTGTGTTCATTCCATGCATTTAATTCTCTCCGTTCGAAATCAACTATATTTATCTCTTTTTTTTTTTTGGTACAATGAACGGCTCAAGCTTAATAGCTCAAGTCACACACGTTTCGCGAATAGGAAACGCCAATAATATCGTGATGAAGCCACGGTCGAACCCCATCGGGTGGAATAGTAAGAAAATGGTATCCCAACACTCCGTCCGCAGCGAAGGAAGCCAAATGGTCGGCTGCAAAATTCGCTTCCCGGTAGACATGTTTCACCTGAATAATCCAAGGTCGACCCAAGAGTTCCTTAATTCCCAATACCAGGCTCGCGTGCACGCCCGGGACATCATCCAAAGTCTCAGAAAAGCACACAACGCTCGCATTATCAACTTCGGCCTCTACTTTTCGGTATCCTAAATCCCACGCCATATTAAGACCTCTAAAGAGCCCCCATAGCTCCGCAGCCATAATCGAACACAAACCTATTTTCATCGTGAAACCGCCNTTTTTTTTTTTTGGAACTATTATTCCCGCCATTCATTCCTATAAATTTTCGTTGGAATTATTTTTCCATCAATAATTTCAACTATCGAAAAAAATGTTGTTGAAATCGTCAAAATCCAAAAAAATATTCGACGGAAAATCAATTCCAACGTAACTTTTCCGTTAGAATTATCGGAATTATAACATTGGAACATTCATTGTAATTTTGTTCGAATATATCGTGTTTGAAAGTTTTTATTGGATTTTCGATGTTTTCCTAGTATTACAGGGCAAATCCAAATATTAGACAAATATATTCAAGCATAGCATGCTGTAGTTAAAATTTCATACTATAAAAAATATGGATTTTTTTTTTCAAACGGCACATACTTGTATAAATAGAAAACTCAAAAAGAGTACAGAGGGGATGCCAACTGACACTAAGAAACCAGAAAACTGGACCTACCCTCTTGAAATTTCGCATGAATCCAAAAGGTACAACTCTATCAAGGAGGCAACCGCAAAACCAAAACGAAACTCCATAAAGGAGATAAACCAGACAAACTGGACTAACAAACGAAAAACAGAAAAAACACACACACAATACACAAATAAACTAAGACCACTCCTACACCTATCAGACCCAACACCCACCCACCTGAGACCGCACACGAGCCACTTCCACTAGCAGAAAGATCCAACGCAGCCGCAAATTGGAACCTCAAGCCCAAAATTTGCGGCCCCTCGTGTTGCCTAGACGAATCTGAAGAACATTGTGCTCTCGATTTAGCTCTGGACTTCGAAAAACCATCCACACCGAGGGAGGAGGGGAACTGCCCCTAAGCCGTTGGAGATCACACCGGGGAGCTAAAAAATGGTCCAACCGCGCAGCCGAGGCGCACCTTTGAACACTACACAGAAAGAACCCGAACCCCGACGCACCAACAGCCCGACGGTCTCCAGGGACTGCAGCCTAACGTAGACGACAGGCGACCCTTTCTTAGCCAGAGAGATGACGGACCGGTGAGCACCAATCTGGACAATACACCCGCAAAGCCTTGGAAGCGGCGGAGAGAATGTCCACTAGCCCCAACTCGGTGGGAACCGACTCCAGAGACGCGGTTGTAGGTCGCCGGTGAAGGAGAGGCAATAAAATCAAAGGAGACTCCGTTGATTAGGGTCAGTTGATTTGGGAATTTTTTTTTAGAGAGTTAGCCTATAAAAAACATAGATAAAAGTAAAAAAAATATACAGTATAATATTTCAAAATACATGATTGGCCTGAATTTGTAAATCATCTCTCGTTATCTTTAGAAAATAGAAAATCAATATTAATACATGTCTCTTAAGTCAATATCTCTCCCTCTAAACCGCAATTAACATTAAATTAGACTCCTAAAGAATACAATCGATAACATGTTATAAGGATCATTTTAACTATTACTTGATGGAAAGAAACGAACTAGGGGAGAATCACTTTAACATAACACTCCCACTCCACAGGGAACAACCATACAAAAGCTCTCAAACAAGGAAGACAAAATAAATAAATAAATAAAAAGCAGCAAAATAAAATATAAGAACAAACTAGGGAAAATATCAAACTTAAACTAAAGTCCCCATGGCTACCAACAAGATTCGTCAACGTCACAATCTGAGCAAGCAAATCGAAGTCAGACATATAAAGAAGAACACTGACACAACCTAAGAATAGCATATTCGGAAACTCCTAACCCCGATATGGCAAAGGCTAACCGGATCTGACACCTTTGGACTCAATATTCCTTGGTTCTTGCATCTCTCATATTGCCTTCACTTTCTTAGTGTTGACTTCAATACCTCTTTTTGTGACCAAAGAGCCAAGAAATCTTCCTGAACTGAATCCAAACTTACACTTGCCCATGTTGAGCTTCATCCTATAGCTTTTTGTAGTCTCAAAAGTCTCTCTCAAGTCACCAATGTGGCTCTCATTCTTCTTATTTTCAGCAAAATTTCATTGACGTAGACCTCCATGTTCCCCATTCTTCTTATTTTCAGCAAAATTTCATTGACGTAGACCTCCATGTTCCTCCGTAGCTGGTCGTGAAACAACTTGTCTACCATCCGCTGATACATTGCACCTTCATTCTTCAACTCAAAAGGCATCACTGCATAACAGTAGGTGCCCTTTGAGGTCACATACCTCACCTGTTTATGGTCTTCACCACCAATGGTATCTGGTATTATTCCTCTTGTGTTTGGAGTGATTTTCTCCCTATTTGGTTCTCCTCTTTTTTATCGGTTGTACCGGACTAATGTCC